GCGGGTGAGGTTGGTGAGTTCAAGGAGGCTGGAAAGCTGGTTGTGGTAGAAGAAGCAGGTGTTAAAGGAAAGTGCAGTGAGAGACGAAAGCGAGCTGAGTTTAGGAGCGGTTAAGACGGAAGCTTGATTGTTCAAGACGAGAGTGCGCAACGGTAGATGAAAGAGAGAATGTGGAGGCTCGGCATATTTCTCCAACCAATACAGCGACAGCTGCTCCAGTTGAGGGCAGTGACGGGCGAGATGATCCAAGCCTGATTCGTCTACCAGACAGGCGACCTTCCTTGCATGTCGATTCCTGCCCGCAAGGAGCTTCAACTCCCCTATGTGAAGCGCTCTCAGCCTAGGGCACGAAGAGGCGAGGTCAGCTAGAAAGGTGTTGTCCAGAGCTTCCACACTTCTATCCAGCAGATGAAGATGGGTCAGATCGGGAAAACAAGCGACGGCGTTGAGAACATCCCGACGAGAAACGACGCGATCCTCCTTGACGAGGAGCGTCGCAACATGGCTCTTAGCGAGACGCCGCCAGCGACGGCAGATGGACGCAAGTAGAAGGTTGTGAGCGGCATCTGCGGAGGCTGGAGGGGTCGGCAGTGGAGTTTCTCTTCGCCATGGTGAGCCCTCTGGGCAAGCGTTGTGGATGTACTTGGGCTTGAACGGCAGAATGCTCCAAGAATCATCGCTCTCGGATGTGTACGATTTCGATAGTCTAGAAGGCCAGAAGATGCGGACCAAGATGTCGTCATAGAGATGGTGGATGTGGGTTCTACGAGAATCCATGCCAGCCGTGAAGAAGGTAACAATCGGAAACTGAGGTGAAAGCTCCGCGTCGAGTGCGAGGAGATTGGGCCAACAAATCAGAGCTCGTAGCCTAAATCGCCGAAACGATCGACCTTGTCCTCCCTAATCGACAACTTCGACCTGCTACTACGATTCTACGACTTGGAATGAACACCTGGAGCAACACAAACATGTGTGTGTCCTGCTACGCTCACTCAGCTATTCTCAACATTCAGGGAATCAGGTCGTAGCTCCTAAGAGGCCTACTATACGTCACAAAACTTCAGCATCCTCTCGTGCTTTTATTCGGGGTAGGCTAGAGAGGCTCACAAAGCAGATCTGCTTCCATGGTATGGTCCTCTGCAAGCAGATCGCTTCTGCGAAAGCCATTCAGGGCTTGGTTTGTTCACACCTCCATGCTTGGTGAGTTGGTGTGAAGTGGTTCAAAGCGGTGAAGATATAAAACCGTACCAGAGTGCTCAAACATCGTTCTCAACCGTTTTTCCAGCAGATTCCTCTAAGGTGACGTCAACTGTTTTTGGTTTGGTTTGGATCAACACGAAGGGGAGGAGCAGGATGAGGTTTTGTTCGACAAGAGTACTGCACTGTACACCCACCAAAATTTCTTCCACGGCGAGAATCGGTAGGGTTGGGTTGAGAGGTAGAGTAAGGCTTTTACGATACCGCACAGCGCATTTGTTACCAGAGTACGAACTCTAAACAGCACAAGCACAAGCAGACTATCTTGACGCTTCTAACTCCTCCGTGCGACATACTTCAGAACCTAACACGCGACGCGAGTTTCTTTAAGCAAGAGTGATACGACGACATTATTCTTTTTTTTATCGTCGAAGAAAATGTCATTGTCATTGATGGGCTTCTGTAGTGCCGCATCAGCTGCTCCGTCGTTGGCGCGCAGCGATGCGACGGGCCGCGCACAGCAGGCAAAAGCAGCAGAGATGTCCCGAATTTTAGAATTCCAATTCCCAAACCTCGAATCCCGGATCCCGAATCCCGTTATTTTTGCTCACACGCCTCAGTCTCCCTCTTTCGGCCACCTCGAAGGTGCCGTTGAGTCAGCGCTGCTGCTGCCGCTGCCGGTCGCGATCCACCTTGCGGCGCGTGGAATCAATCCTGATGGATGGGATGGGGATGATCTCGCAATTTCTCCCATGGGATGCCCGCCTGTACCATTTCGCTCGCCACGAGCCGAGCGTCATCGGTCGCAGACCTACGTGACGGTCGCCGTCGCCTGTTCAGGCGGATCGGCCATTCGCGTCGGTCGGATATATAATATGCTGCCGATCGGCTCCATGCACAGACTGCAAATAGTGAAGGCAGAACGCCGTGGCGGCTCGGCGGCCGATAGTGGAGCTGCAGGTTAGGAGATGTTGGCGAGATCGTGACAGGAGGCACAACAGGAGATGACTTTTCGACTCAAAGGATATGTTATTTTTTGCCGCGGATGTACCTACTGTAGACATTCAATGTCTGGACCATTCGAGAGGGAGAATGGGCTTCTGAGACAACAGGAGCAGTGGCAGGCGGCGATAGAACACGCGGAAAAAAACGCCAGGCAGCGCAAGCGGCATTGGCGGCGCTAGGGGTGGTGGCGGGGAGAGCGGGACGGAGGACGAGGGGGAGGTGAAGGGGGGTTGAAAAGGGGCCTGCTGATGGGGCTGGTGTCGTTTGGTGTTACCGGCGATGATGGAAGGGATAGTGTGTGGGAGGGGGAGAATGGTCTCTGTCGGTTCGGGCCGTGTGTGAGAGTCACTTGAGAGCGGTGACGGGGCGGCGAAGGGGCGGTGAACGGGGGTGAATGGGGGTGAAGGGGGGAGAAGGGGGTTGAAGGGGGATGAAGAAGGAAGTGCTGCCCGGCATTGCAGCACCGCCTAGAAAGTCACTCACCTGCAAAGGAGATGTCAACTCTTGTGAGAATTCTTAGAAACATCCTGCGACGCGAAGGAGGCGGTGCTGGGGCTGGCGGACGCGACAGAGGATGCGTGACGGGCGACGGTGGAAATCGGCGGCAAGGTGAGACAGTTGGTGCGGGACGGGGGGTCCTGGGGGAGATGCGTTGCGTGCAGGCATCTCTCGAGTCACTCGTCGCGGTGGTGGTAAAGGGGTGGTTGAGTTGCTGGGCGTCGCCCAATTGTGAAGTGGTGAAGAGAGTTATTGCTGAGAGTCGGTGAGAATTTACCGCAGAGTCACTGTGAGTGGCGGTAAAATGGCTGTGAGAGTGAGTGAGGAAGCTGATGGGCAGGCCAGGTGAGTTGAATAGTAATTGCAGCCAATGTGAGGCTCATTCCCCCATCCCCCCTCAGTTACTTCCCCCTCCTTTCCAATTCTTGATCCCCTCTTCCCACCCAGCCCCCATTTCTATCCTCCGCCCATCCCATCCATCCAGCCTCACATTCATGTATCCCACTCCCACATACAGCAACTTGTGACCACCTGACACCTACCCCTGCCGCACAATCACATATTTCACAAGGGCACTACCGCTTCCTCCCCCCTTTCTCACTCCCCTTAACCTGTTTCCCCCACCTTCCCGCCCTAGCTCCCCACCTTCTTCTCCCACACGGATTTTTGCCCCTACGGCACTGTCTCCCACACATCCATCCTCCCCGCATTCGTCTCATCAACTCACTGCTCCCCTCACCCCCCCCCCCCTCCTCCTCCTCCCCAGCTCCGCACCTGCTTCTCCTATGCTGACTTCCAGCCCACACTTCGTGCCCCTACAGGACAGTTTCCTCATCGCTCTCATAAGCCACCGCCTCTTTTCCTACCGTCCCCTCCCCCACCTCTCCCCCCCAGCCTGCTTCTCTTACACCCACTCCGGCCTGCGGAATCAGCCCACAGTTTCCTTCCCACCCTACGATGATTAGCTGCACTGCTCACCCCCTTAACCAACTCCGCACCTGCTTCTCCTGCACCGATCCTTTGCCCATGTATTGCTGCCCCTGCAACACGGGCGCACGGTTCACAGGCAACCTGTGGGCTGCTGAGGCTGTGCACTGTTCTCAAGTCCTGGATGGGCTGTGCACTCATTGCCTGTGCGCCCCTGCAGGTTGCAACATGGGCGCACTGTTCTCAGGGGAACATGCAGACTTCTGACTGTACTCCTTGCCAAGGCTGCAACGCACCCTCCCCTCCCTTCCCCCCTCCACCCCTCGTACCCGCAGCTCTGCACCTGCATCTCCCACACCGACTTCACGCCTCCACAACACTGCCTTCCATATCCATCACTCATAAGCCACCTGTGCCGTTTACCCTTTCCGCCCTCTCCCATTCCACCCCCCCGCACACCCTTAACTACCAACCCCAGCTGCGCACTTGCTTCGCCTACACCAACTTCTGGTCCACAGACTCTCGACCCTGCGACGCGGGCGCATTGTTCACCGCCACAGCAACACGCCAGTGGCTGCTGACGTGGCGGAGGTGTGAGAGGGGCTGCAGGCGAGCGGGGTGGGGCTGCTGGGTGCCGCGTGGCGGTTTTCTTTCTCAAGGAGGACGACGGGAGAAGGAGGTGTGTGTGGCGAAGGAAGTGGGCTGAGTTGGTTGGGGCTGGGAGAGGCTAGGCTGCTGGGTGCTGTGTGGCCGTCTCGCTCTTGAAAGAAGAACAGCGGGAGAAAAAGGTGCGTGATGAAAAGTATGCGGGCATTCTATGGTTCACCTGGTCAGTAGCAGCAGGCGTAGCTAGGCGGGCTACTGGGTGACCAATGGCGGCTTGTTTGCGTGGAGGAGCAGAGGGAGAAGGAGGTAGGTGGTGGAATGCCTTTTAGGTGATTGTTGTGGCGGTGGGCGAGGCTCGGCTGGGCTGCCCAGCCGGCTTGGCTCAGCTCAGCTCGGCTGGGTGTCCCATGGCGGTTTTCGAGGAGGGGTAAGCAGAGGGGAAAGGAGGTGCGTTGTGAGTGGGTGAGGGGTAGTAGGCTGCTTGATGCTTATGAGTGACTGGTGGATCAGGGGTGAGGCGATTCTGGGCGTGGCTGCTAGGTGCCTCGTGGCAGATTTCATCCTCAGGGAAGAAGGAGAGTGGGTGTGTGGTGAGAGGGGTGTAAGCTATATGTGTATCACTAGAAGGTCACTAGTGTGGCTGCACGCAAGGCTGGGCGAGAGTGCTGGGTGTCCCGTGGCCTTGCCCTTCCTCAGTGAAGAACGGGCTTAGGGACGAGCAGAGGGAAAAGGAAGTGGGTGTGTGGCGAGAGGGACGTGAGCTAGCTATGGGCCACCTGCAGGTCGCTAGTAGCGAGGCTGCTGGGGAGCGGCAGTTTTCTTCCTTAAGGACGAGCAGGGCGAGAAGGGCGTGCGTCGTGGGCTGCTTATGGGTCGGTAGCAGGTCGGTAGCAGGTCGCTCGCAGGTCAGCCAGGTCGCTCGCAGGTCAGCCAGGTCGCTCGCAGGTCAGCCAGGTCGCTCGCAGGTCGCAGGTTAAGCTCTCCCTTGTTCCCCTCCTCTCCTCCTATCACTAACCGCCTCTCTCACCCTCACCTCACCGGTCTCTTTCACTGGCCTCCTTTTGTCCAAGAACACGCCAGGTGTGCATTGTGCAGCCATCACTTTCCATTGTTGGCCCTCCATTCCCTCCCCCCTAAACTTTCTCGTCCCCAACCCTGTCTCCTCCATACACATGCGCTCTCCTTTCCCCTCCCCCATTCCATTCCCCTTCAACGTCTCCTCCCCCATCCCCATCCCCATCCCCATCGTCATTCCCCCCTTCCCATGTGTGCTGTGCAAAGTTCAGCCAGCAGCGTCCATCACTCTGCTCCAATCCGCCTATCCTGCACTCCCCTCGCTTTTCTCTCCCTCTCTCTGCCCTACCTCTAATTTCCCTCCCTCATTGCATTCCTCCCTCTTCCCTCCTCCCTCCTCCCTCCTCCCTCGTCCCTCCTCCCTCCTCACTCCTCCTCAGCAACAGCTCCCCAGTTATCAGCACATCATTGATCTTCTATGTTCCTTAGGGCGTGTAACTTTGTACCGACCAATTGAAAAAAAACGACCATTGGGTGGTTCTGACGATTGCGAACTCTTTGGGGTAACACCCACAGATTAGCATTACGGGGTAGTCACACTGACTACAGAAAATATTCAGGTGTTATTTTCATTTGATTTTGTGTCACAAACTCTCACGACCTCTACTACTCTTCTCCTGGGCAGGGGATTGGTGTTCGACTTCCAGTTATTGCCCCCGAATCTGTTTCGCGAAGGCCTATGAACTTCCTAAACACTACTACCTTTTTGTGCCCACTTTTTCCACACCCCGTTCGAATGCTGAAACTTGGATTTAACGTTTAAATTCTAATTATGGGGGTAGGTAAGGGTGGGTGCCCCACAGCTCGCGAACAGAATGGTCATTGTGTTCGAAATGTGTGACGGGGTTCGTTCAAACGTTACACCATTTCGCATTCGCCTGAACCAGCCATTTGGTCGGATGTTAGGCTTGGTCGGTACAATGTTACACGGCCTTACTCTCTCAACTCCCTTCTTTCCCTCCTTGCGTTTTTTGTGCCATGGCTTCATCCTCCTCCCCCCCATTTTCCCTTTCCTCCCCCCTCTTTCCCTGGCTATTCCAGCACATTATGGCGCGGTGCTTTGCCATGCAACTCACCCGCCCTACCCTTCTTGCCCATGCCCGTTGCTCTTTCTCCCTTACACCTCGCCGCACAATTCGAGCTCTTTCGACACGCGGGGAAACGGAGCCACAGCATGCAGCTCATTCACCTACTTTCCACCACGCCTCCCTCCTTCCACCGTCCCACAGGCCCTCCATCACCCCTCCGTCGTTTTCTTGTGCTCGTTGCTTCTTCATCCGTTCCTTTCCCCTCTTTCCCTTCCTCCCATCCACCAGCTTCATCTCTTTTCTCCCCCGTGCTGCTTCTCCCACCCACCCCCCTCGTCGCACACACCCCCATCTTCAGCGCATGATGGCATGGCGCCATGGTGTGCACTTGTCCCCGCCAAACCTCCTCCGCGCCCCCCCGGGCTGCCACGGCACGGCAGTGCCATTCACTTCCATTCCCTCGTGCCCTCCTCCCTGGTTGCTGGCGAGGTGACGGGTGAGGCCGGTGGCGAGCGCAATGAGTGGATGGTGGGGAGAGGTGCTAGAGCATGACATTTGATGCTGCTAATTGTGTAAGTGTAACACCCTTTTCTGGGTTTACACTTCTGTTCAGGACACCCCAACCCCTTTAGGCCGCAATTGACCGGGAACCAGTCGTTGGCTGCTCACAACAGCCATTATCTCCCCAACACCGTAACAATTGTTGGCTACCCCCAACATTATTGGGCAACCAACATAATTTGACAAACCACTACTGTTGTGGGTTACCCTCAAAATTCCTATTTCCTTCACCACCTATGTGTACCATTCGTTTGCTAATGGTGGGGGGAGGTGGATAGTGAGAGGAATATGGTGCTGGTGAGGTTGGCCTAAAGTCAGTGACTTGACTCTTTTGAACTGGGCAGCTTTCCAGGCAGTGTTCTCTGCCAGATCCCGCCCTTAATCCTCCTCGCCTTCCCTTCCCTGCCTTCCCTGCGTTGCCTTCCTTCCCTGCCTTCCCTGCCTTGCCTGCCTTGCCTGCATTGCCTGTCATCACCTCTCCCTCTCTGCACGGCCTATCCGGCAGGCACAAGGTCAAGATCACCACGCTCATCCATGTCTCCCTCCTGGCTCTTGCCTGTTCCTCCAGCATCATACCTCTGCCAGTCCTGGCAATGCGCTGCCTCTTCTCACCCGTCATCACCCTCGCCTTCCGCAACGCGGAGGAGCTGCCATCGCTCGACGATATCTCGCCACTTGGCAGAGGGCAATCATTTCTCACGAGGATGCAGCTGAATGGCATTCTGCTGCTACCAATAGCAGCAGCACGTTCCCTTTGTTTGACCCCACCTACACTGAGTCAAGTCAGAAATAATCTTGCCGCTCAACAGCAGTGCTGCTCCCTGCCAAGGCCACCGGCACGTTTCCTTTGTTCTACCAGTGGATTCGTAAGGCATGCATGTCGCAATCCGGAATGATGACGAGAACACTCTCCTCCGTTGTGCCGCTGCTGGTGGTTGTTGTTGGGTTGGGCTCCTGTCGATGAACTTCGATTTGTTGCATCTCAATTCTAAGTGGTCCGCACCGCACCTCATGTCCCTCTGACGCAGCACAGCACAGCACCTTCATTTGATCTGAGAGTCTCGTTTTTGAAATACCAGGGTCTACCGTAGAAGGCAAGCGCATTAATGAGATTTCTTTCAGCTTTCAATGGCAAAGACACCTTACAGAATCTGTCAATATATATATATATATGTATGTAGGCTATGTTGGGACTAGCCTTAGGGGGTACAAACATTACTCGAAGCTTCACTTGTACCACCCTTGTTGACCTAATGACCACCACTATAGCCTATTAAGTTCAACAGAAACACCACAAGGTAATATATTGGTATGATAATTCCACAAGAGTAGCAAAGACTCAAGCATCTTGAGCCCAGAATACACATCCGTCACCCTGAACAGTACAGGAAGCACCATGGTAGTTTGCCTGGCAGGCAACGCATGGCAGAGGCCTGGGCAGGATTAACAGGCAGTAGACGAATGCAGAAGACCAGGGAGCAGACGAAACTGTGTGTGTTAGGGGCTTGCTGGTGCTGCTGATGTGGCAGAGAGCAGCAATGGAAGGGTGAAAACAGGAGTGCAACAAGGGAGAACAGCAGGAGAGCAAGGGAGAAAAGCAAATTGCTGGGGTGAAAAGCACGAGTAAAAGGGTGAAAAGCAGGAGTGCAAGGGTGAAAAGCAGGAGTGCAAGGGTGAAAAGCAGGACCAGGCAAAAGAAGATTTGCGTTAGTATGAGTGGGGGGTGGTGGTTATGAGAGGCGTGGGGGGTTTGAGAGGAGTGGGGTGTATGAGAGGAGTTGGGGGTATGAGAGGAGTGGGGGGTATGAGAGGAGTGGGGGGGATGAGAGGAGTCAGCTATTTGCAACACAGGGGACCCCTCCGTGGCGCACAGTCATTGCATTGCTGACGTGCCAGGTGACAGGTGTCACTACATTGCTGGGCTCAACTCGACGGCATGCTCTGACAGTGTTGAAGGTGATTGTGTGTGTTGTTCCAGTAACAAACGATCTTTCTGCACTTGACCTTCGTTAGCACCACTCTATCCTTTCCCTCCCGCACCACGATATTATTGCCTTCACTTCCAAACGTACACATGCACAGGGAAATCAGGCACAGGGAAATCAGGCACAGGGAAATCAGGCACAGGGAAATCAGGCACAGGGAATTCAGGCACAGGGAATTCAGGCACAGGAAATTCAGACAAAGGGAATTAAGGCACAGGGCATTCAGGCACAGGGCATTCAGGCACAGGGGATTCAGGGACAGGGGATTCAGGCAAGGGAAAGAAAATTTTAGGCAAAGGGATTTTAAGAAGAAGAAAAAAAGGCACATGGGATTCAAGCTTAGGAAATTCAGGCACTGAAAACTCGGGCACTGAGAAATCAGGCACAGGGCACAGGGAATCCAGGCGCAAGGAATTCAGGCAGTGAGAAATCAAGCACATGGAATTCAGGCATAGGGCATTCAGACACAGGATATTCACACACATCAGGCACAGGCACTTGAGGCACAGGAATGTCAGACACAGAAATTTCGGACACCGGAATTTCAGGCACAGGGAACTCAGGCACAGGGCACTAAGGCACAGGGTATTATGGCACAGGAAGTTCATGAACAAGGGATTCAGTAACAAGGAATTCAGGCCCAGGCATGCAGGCACAAGGAACTTAGATATAGAGATATCAGAAACATAGATTCCAAGCACACGGAATGAAGACTACGAATTTTAGGCACAGGGCATTCAGGCACAGGGAATTCAGGTACGGGAAATTTTGGCACGGAAATTTCAGGAATAAGAAATTAACGCACATGTAATATGAGCACAGAAAAATCAGGCTCAGGCAAAATAGGCACAGGGAATTCAGTCACAGGCAATCGGACACAAAGCATTTAGGAACAAGGAAGTCAGGCACAGAAAAGCAAGTCCCAGAACACTAAGGCACAGGTAATACGGGTGTAGGGAATCGGGGAGCAGGGAATTCGAGCACAGGGAAATCTGGCAGAGGTATCAGGCTCAGGGATTCAGACACAGGGCAATCGTGCACAGGAAATTTAGGAACAGAAAATTCAACCAGACAAAAAGGCACAGAAAACTCAGGGACTGAGACTTTAGGCGCAGAGCTTTCAGGAATAGAAATGTTGGGCGCAAGTAATTAAAGCACAATCCCAGACTTGACATCATGCCGCGAGTTATTTTTGCTCTCAATTCGGTTTGACTATGCACCATGGTTAAGGCATATTCTATCAATCAGAACAGGGGCACAAGACAGAATATTTTTGAGAGCACACTACTAGAAGTATCTATAGTCTATACTGCCTAGTCTGTGTCCATGCACTAGCCTCACATATGCAGCTTCCCTTCACCTTCAATGCCACCGTCTCCGACAAGCATCAGCCAGCATTGACACACCAACCTCTGAGATACTGCAGCACCTTCTAACAGGTCACGTCACCTAGCCACTTAATCTGCACAAGATTGGCAGGAAGGGAGCGTATGGAGGTGCAACTCAGTAACAACTGGTGCAGCTGGGTGAAAAACTCCGGTAGGTGCTGCAAGGAGTTGCATGAGATCAGCTCCAGTTTGCGCAGGCGAACCAACGAGGTCACGCCCTGAGGTAGAGCCACCAGCTGAGGCGCTTCAACCGATAGTGACGTCAGCTTGGTGAGCTCCCCTAAGCTTTCTGGCAGCTCCTCCGGTGACCAAGAAAGAATCTTCAGCTGCCGTAGCTCCGGCAATGCTGCTGCCATGTTGCTTGGGAGGCTGCGAATCCCCGGCGCCTCTATCAGCAAGCTGTGCATATTGAAGTCAGGAGGGCTGGGAGCTCCTGGCTGTCACCTCCCAACCGCAACTCCAGCTGCTCCAGACATGACAGCCTGCTGCTCACCGCAGGGCCCCATATCACCCCGACACTGTTCAGCTTCAGTACCCTCAGCTGCGATAACCCACAGATGTCCACCTCATGGGAAGAGGCTTCCCTGAAGGGCCCCAGACAAAGGCTTTGAAGAGAGGGGGGCAGATCAGCAGGGGGGCCACTCAGCTCCAGCCTCATTAGGCTCGGCCGCTGCCATGATGTTTCTGAGAGAGACCAGCAGCCTCTGACCTCCAAAGTGTGAAGCCTGGTAAGACGAATCAGTGAGATAGGAAGCGTGCTGATCAAGCAGCCAATTAACTTCAGCTCCTGCAGGCTGGTCAGCTCTCCCAAAAATTCCGGAAGCTCGATTTCACCGCATTTAGTCAGCTCAAGGCTCGTCAAGGAAGTCAGCCCGGTGAAGGACGCAGGGAAGGGGTGGTAATGGCAGTTATACAACCTAATAGCCTTCAGGCTTACAAGGGCTCCAATGTCCTCCGGCAAGGCAAGCGATGACAAGCAAGTCATGGCAAGTCTCCAATGCAGTTTGGAAGACACATCACCTCCAAGCAGTTGCTTATCAGCAGCTCCTCTAGCGTGGTGAAAGGCGAAGCTGATGGGAAGATGGAGTCGAGATCAAACGAATTGAGAAGATTGAGCGATTTTAGACAAGAAGGCAGTGCCACGGTTGCAACACGCGTTGGCTGATGGGTTTGGTGAGGGTTGAGGCCGAGTCGTGGGAGGTGACGGGGGGTGGCGATGCGCAGATGGTTCCTGGGGCAGCTGACGTACAGGGTGGTTAGGGCTGTGAGGTTGGCGAAATCAGGATTCTCCATGTCTGCAGCGTCGTTGAGAAAAAGGGTGTGCAGATACCTCAGCTGGAATAAGGACTTGGGTAGCTGTGTTGCTTGCTTGAGGAAAAAGAGGGTCACCTGCTCCAATCCAGGAAGCGCATGAAAAAATCGGTCCAAGCCGTCCGTGGTTATTGAATGTGTTTTCTCCCTGCGATAATGCATAACTGGGTAGACATCGTCCTTGTTCAGCCATGTAAAGTTCCTCCCCACGTGGAGGCGAGTCAGCTTCGGGCATGACAAAGCCAGGTGAGCAAGGAAAGCGTCATCGAGCGGCTCGGCGCTGTTGTCGCTGAGATGCAAATGGGTG